TTCGTGAAGCACGTCGCCTCACGACCTTTGAAAATCGAGTCCCCATTACTGTCCGCGGCGCCGACGAGTGCAGCCGGACCGTGACAAACAGCCGAGACGACCTTGCCTGCCTGCCAGAATTGGGACACGAGTTTGATATTCACAGGGTCTGAGGCAAGGTCGATGACGGGGCCGTGTCCACCGACGTAGAAGATGGCGTCGTATTCGCTAACGTTCACATCGGAAAGCTTCTTCGCTACCGCGAGCTTCTGCTTGACCGTTTCGTCGTTGAGGAAAGCGACACTCTGGTCGTCTTTGTACGCCTGGACCGTTTTTATGAGATGTCCAAGTAGATAATTGGACTAAACCACCGTGCATACCTCAACAGAATGCGTATCAATGGGTGGATTAGGCCCCTTCGGTGAAGCGAAGTCGATCTCAACATGCTTGTTCAAGACTAGATGACCCAACATTGTCAGTACATGTGCAAGCATTATCAAAAACGAGGTGTGCAGACCATAGTAAGGGTGAGCAGCCTCAGGAAGGTACCAGCCCTGTAGATAGATGTGACCTTAGTACATAGGCCATTTTCGCGAATGCACAATGTGCATACCGTAGGACCGCCTTGGAGGTTCTTGTCAGCGGATGTGAGCACGAAAAGGACGCGTGTCATATTAATGTAGAACTTCTGGTTGCGTGCAAGGTCGAGGAGAGTATACGGACGGTTGTGTCGGTAGTGTGAAGATGCTAGCTATCGTCTCTGGTCGTGTCTTATATAGCGTCTTTGCTTCCCATACATAGGTTTCCTCATCAGCCCGGTATCCTTGGGTTCGCACGCGGGCTGTGGACGTTGCTGAATCAGGGGATAGCGCAAGCATACGCAAGCAGCCCGAGCGACCTGTTTCTACTCGAGATTTTAGAGCTCAACGAATGAACCGCTATGTTCACACTTTGCTGGTACGCTGATCGGCAATACCGGAAGACGCGCCATGGCCAATTGGCTGGAAGGCCAACTAAGCGCGGCAATGAACGGAAATAATGACGTCGTTTTCACATGCTACGACACGTACCATGATCATCTGGTCTGCGCGCAGTCAGGCGCAGTCGCGAGGTTTTCTGAATAACTGTTTGTGACGAAGACACCGATTCAACGATGGCTCTTCGTCTTCAGGCGTTGTAAGAAAGTTCTATTATTCCGCGTATCGAATCAGTAAGCATACTACTGCCCACAGATATTAGCAGGGGCCGTTTGGGGGCCGTTGCACCTAGCAACTTATGAAAGAGAGCTCAATCCCTTCCATTTCAGATAATTCAGATAATCCACGTTGATGAAGTAGGAATTGGTTCATGTGCAAAAAATCTCCATATATTTACCCTCTCAGTGCCTCAAGAATTGCCTTGCCAATGGGTCCTGAAGAGGCAGGATTCTGCCCGGTAATCAGTTTACCGTCTACAACAACCTTGACCTGTGGAATTGGGTTTGAATCTCTGCATCGAATGCACAGACCATAGAAACTTACACCCCACAAAGCGTCAGCCCGTTGGACTTTACCACCAAGGCCGATGATCTTGTCTTCCAGCAACCATGGGACACCCTGTATCGGCATACGGTCAGACATACGCACAACAAATGATGAATATTTCACAAACATCTTCCTCCCCGAATGCAATCTCTTCCGCATTCGTAAAACACGTCACTTCGCGGCCCTTGAATATTGACGTTCCGTCGCTGTCGATTGCACCCACAAGCGCAGCGGGCCCGTGGCATACAGCTGACACGATCTTGCCAGCCTGCCAAAACTGCGACGCGAGCTTGGCATTGACAGGGTCGGAAGCGAGGTCGATGACGGGGCCGTGGCCCCCGACATAGAAGACAGCGTCGTAGTCGTTTACGCTTACTTCAGAAAGTGTTTTCGCCGCGGCAAGCTTCTGCTTGATGGTTTCGTCTTTGAGGAAGTCAACGCTTTGTGCATCGTTCTTGTATGTCTAGGAAATATGAGCCGTAGTATGCAATGTATCTTGTGGCGAGCACATACTTGGACAGAGCCTGGATCGACGGGTGGGTTGGGCCCCTTAGGGGAGGCGAAGTCAATTTCAGCATATCTATTCAAGACTGCGAGCAGGAAAAGTTGGAGGAAGTGATTTGATTACATTCCAGGGGAGTCATACCGTAGTAAGTGTGAGCAGCCTCAGGAAGGTACCAGCCCTACAACAAGCGATATCGTAAATGCGGACTTCATTCTTACAATATCGCAAAAACCCGACTTACCGCCGGGTCGCCCTTGAGATTCTTCTCAGCGGAGCTCAGGACGAAGAGTATGCGAGGCATATTGAGGATGTCGATGGGTGTGAAGCGTTGGATCTTGACAGGCCCCTGTGCCAATCATACCCGCCGCCAGCTTATATGGAGTCGTACCTAACACCTTGCGCCCTAGCTCAATCACCCCTGTGTCTTATGCTCCACACTCGGCGTGGTTGAGCACGCACCGTCTCTTGACATCAGCCGACTATCGCGTGCATAAGGATGGATGAATACTGGTTCAATGCCTTTGGAACTATCACTGTGACGGTCAAAGCGTGACGCATATCTTGTCAATAATATCTAGTGTCCAGGCGTCCTGGTCGGATATCGGCATGAGAGCGATTAGCTACTAGTGATAGCCATGATATGTGATGCACTTCCTCTCCACGAGATATGATATACACTCACGCCACTTTCCCTTCCTAGCGCTGTAATAATGCCGTTGCATCGTATGTCGACACTGTTCGATTAGCTCAAGCTATAAGCGCGGCGTCAAGGACGTACGCTCGAAGTGGCGACGTCGATCCTGTTGATTGACCATCAATCCAAATTCCGTGTGAAGACTTTAGTATTGTTGGCCGAGCGCACACATGCTGCCTCACACACGTTCCATGAGACGTCCTTGATAAACTTCAATAATTCAAGCAGCACATTTCATACAAAACTATGGACCCAAGAAACTCGTATTGTGCTGCCGACACGCCGCCGAGGCTCTGATTTCTGCACTGCCTGGATCCTTTCTACAAATCGACCGGAAGACAGCCGATGCTGATCAGACCCTCCTGTGAACCAGTCTGTTATAGATCATGGAAGGAGCAGATGAAAGAGTCACATACGAAACTGTTGTTCTCGCAGCAGACAGCGTTGGCACTGCAGGAACCGCTGCCAGCTCCTATGATGGTGATAGGCGAGCATGTCAGGCCCACCAGGACGTCCAAGTCGCTCAGGACGATGCCCAAGAGACCAAGAAGGGCACTAGCAGCTGGATCGCTGGCCTATAAGATCACAGCTGTATTAAGGCTTGTGAAACTGCATCAAAGATGAATGGGCGTACCGATTTGACTTCGTTGCAGCACTGAATGGGACCAGTGTTACACTGGCCAGATGTAGTGGGCGTCGACGCAGGAGCAGTCACCGTCACCGTCGTCGTCGTCGTCGCCGTCGTCGTCGGCGGCGGCGGGGGTCCCCAAGGGGTGGCGACCGCAAGAACGGCGAGGGTAGACACGGCGCAGACGAAGCTAGCGTGGAAGCGGATGAACATCTTGTCAATGCACTTTAGTCGAGCTGGGCCTGCTGTAGTAGTTCGAGGGGTGAACTGGAGGAAGAACGCGGCTTGCGCATGGTTTTTATACGTCGAGGACACCAGAGGAATGTTCTATCCAGCGGAATCATGGTGGTTGCTGCATTCCATTAGATGCGTCGCACGTCGCAGCCATGATGAAATCTGTCCGCTGGGCGGTGTTGATGCGTTAGCGTGTTGCGGCGTGAGAGGACAGAAGAGGGGTCTGATATGTTGGCGATTGGTGTCGACTCTGTCGGTTCAAGTATGAAACGCACCAGTCTCGTAAGAACACAGAGATTATTTTGAGATACAGAGAAGAACATAGAGACGCACCTCTGTAGAGCTATACTGTAAGTACGGCGAGCCTCCACAGGTGTCAGGAGCGCTTAGCACTGGCTACAACACGTAGATTTGAACTGTCGTTCAATACAAAAAACCAGCTCGTGGTAATAGCACGGCTGTTCCTGAATGTTGAAGGGCCAATGAGGTGTTGTGGATCCAGCGCGACACATTGAAAATAGTCATGTGAACGCCGCATATCATCATGTAAGTTTCAAGGTGACCAGTCCAACCCAATAAAAGCAAGTTCTTTCAGTGTCAGGGTGTCCTATGTGTCAAGACTGTAACCGTATAGCCAATGGAAGAGGGGTTCTGGAACTGGTATGGAGTGGTAGACATCCGCCACGTTCGTTGAAGGGTGATAGAGCAGCGCAAGGCATCGGCCGGGTATGATGAGGAGCAAGATCAAAGTTCCGCGATATTTGCGACTTGGTTGTAATCGTCTATAAGACTGGAGCCCGTGAGCTGTGAGCCAAGGACTCATCATGAAGGACAGTGTGCGTACTCACTATCATAAGGTCTCGCTCGAAAGTAAAATTTGATGCTCGTCAGCTCATCGAGACGAGTAGGAACCGCCTTAAACGGCAATTGAATCGAGGCTTCTTCGTGATACTATAGCAATGCTATGGCTTGGGAAATGCGGGCCCTACAAAGGACAAATAGGCGGCCCCAGATGTTATCCTGAAGACGCCAGGTGCCTGGTGTACGCTTTTCTTGACCAATGTGGGATACCGGCTCACGTCAATGTGCGGGAGTGTAGCGGTCAAAAAGAAGAGCCGAAGGTACAAGCTACCGCTAGACATTGCAGAGTGCCTTCAGTGCACCTGTCTGCGAATTGCAAACGCGAACGCAGTTCCAGGGTCGATGTCGGGAGGCATCGGTCCCGCACGTACCGATCTAGAGAGATGAGTCCTTGCTATGTAAGCCATGAAAATAGGCGACATACTTTGGCTGGTTCTCCTCAGAAGGTTGTTTTGAGCACTACTTTGACGTGGATGTTGTGGTACGTCTGCGTCACCAGAGGTCGGAGGCGAAGAACATCCAAGGGCGAGCCACGCTTCGCGCGTTATGTACATTACAAAACGTCCTTTGTGTTATGGCAAGATGGCCGAGTGGTCTAAGGCGCTAGAATCAGGTTGCTTACCTAATCTAGTCTTCGGGCGTGGGTTCGAATCCCACTCTTGTCAGTTATTTTGTTTTGCCTCCAAATCCGGGCCTTTTTCGAGCTCCCTTTGAGCGGTTGATATTAGCTGCATCTGAGTACTTCCATTACAGAGGTTCCGTGTCTTCGCAGAGGTCGCGATGCTCGTCCATTCCAAGTCGGGCCGCCATGTAAGTTGCCATGTAAGTATACCAGCTACTTAAAATAAATTTTAGGAATATCCTATTGATAAGAACATCACATTGCACCAGTGCCTACGACAGGACTATCTCATATTCCTCATACTCATGATCCAGCGCACTATATACAGGATACACTATGCATATATACGGCTTAACGCATGCTTTCCAATGCACTGAACGATTTACTGCCGGGTACAATGTCATGTAGATCAAGTCATGATGAGAATCTGATCTTATCTTATCATCACACAGTGAATCATCTCGAGTCAAGACAATTCCCCAGGCGCATCTTCTTTCGTTCCCGTGGACGTTGCAGACGACGAGGTAAGTACTGCTAGGGTCGAATACCTCTTACAGTGATACCCCAACAATCCAAGATGGCCAAGAAAACGTGAGGCGGTTTGTCTTTGCAGCGTCACTCGCGGTGCTGATTTGCGTCCCTAGCTTCCGTATCGTCATCCTTCCCGGCGATGGTATCGGTGTGTTGCAGCGTTTTACCGCGGGATATTCAGTGTATTGATGCCTGTGTAGGCCCCGAGATCATGACAGAAGCCATCCGTGTCCTTGAGACAGTATCTGCCGCCTCCTCAGACGTAGAGCTGAAGCTCGAGAGTTACGACTTCGGAGGGTGCTCCGTTGATAAGCATGGGATACCTATGACAGACGAGACTCTGCAAGCTTGTCAACAGGCTGATGCCATTCTGTTGGGTACGCTGCTACAGACTACTTTCGGGTTCACGTTGCCAACACAGACGAACAGGTGCTATCGGAGGCCCGAAATGGGGCGTGAACGCCAAGGTCCGCCCTGAGACAGGCCTCCTCTCTCTTCGCAAAGCTATGGGACTCTACGCGAATATTCGCCCAGCGAACTTCGCGTCAGACAGTCTCCTCGCCCATTCTCCTCTGAAGCCCGAGATCGCACAAGGTGTCGACATCATCGTTCTTCGCGAACTTATTGGAGGCGCATACTTCGGCACGCGCAAGGAGCTCGGGGCAGGACCTGCAGAGGACTCTGCATGGGACACCATGATCTACAGCGTCTCCGAAGTGCAGCGCATCACTCGCGTTGCCGCCCAGGTCGCTCTCGCCGCCGATCCTCCTTTGCAAATCCACTCGATTGACAAGGCAAACGTCCTCGCCAGTTCGCGCCTCTGGCGCAAGGTCGTGACGGAGACCCTTCAGAACGAGTACCCCCAGCTCAAATTCGACCACCAGCTCGTCGACTCTGCGTCGATGATTATCGTGGCAAGCCCCAAGAAGCTGAATGGCGTCATCCTCACTGAGAATTTGTTCGGTGACATGTGAGTCTCTTTCACCTGCTCCACACTGCAATGGTAACTCATTTGCGGCCAGTCTCTCAGATGAGTCCAGCGTTATCCCAGGCTCTCTTGGTCTTCTTCCGTCGGCTTCCCTTGCGGGAGCGCCGTCCGTCGCAGACTATAAGTCGCCAGACTTCAAGCCTACGCCGGGTCTCTATGAGCCTATTCATGGTTCGGCACCTGACATCGCGGGTCAGGGTATCGCCAACCCTATTGGCACGATTCTCAGTGCAGCCATGCTCTTCCGCTACTCCCTCGGCATGGAAAAGCCCGCGAAGGCCATCGAGGATGCCGTGCGCAAGGTGCTTGACTCCAAAGACATCGGCGGCTTGGGCATGCGCACGGCAGACCTGGGAGGCACCCACAAGACCAAAGATATCGGCGACAAGATCGTAGAGATTCTCAAGGAGACCTTGTGAGTGCTCGTCAGGTCGTTCTGATGGCTGCCCAAGGACGTGAGCGGCTACTACCGTATCATTGATCATGCTATGTAACTCCCGAGCGGTGCGAACGTGCCGTTCAAGCGCGGTTTCCGCAGCAGAGTATCGTAGGAAAACTAAGGAAAACTTGTATATTAGCGAATTGCACCCAGAAGTCCCACTGCTGCCATCCATTATGCGCCTGCTTCCACTGGTATCCATTTCCGCCTTCTCGTTACGAGTCCTAGCACAGCTGCATCCAGATGAGCCTGCCACATACTACACGCTCCCCCCACTAAGAGAGCAAGCGGCGATACTAAACGGATGGCGGGATGAGCGTGTCGCACACATACCACACATACTACGAAAGCACGGCGTGGACGCTTGGCTGGTGAGCATCTTCACACGTCCATAACGTATATGTCTGCAATGAAATCCGCAGATGAGCCAACGTGAATATGCGGAGGACACCATTTGGTGGTCTATCAAGGATGCGACCGAGTTCGCCCCTCACCGACGGACCGTGGTTCTCTTTCATACCAACAGTTCCTCGCTTACCGGACACCCGAACCCACTACGTTGGGTAGACAACACAGGACAGGTCTGGCCTGAGTTACGAGCTCTCTTACGATCATTTCGACCAGAGCGGATCGCGATAAATAGCGACCGCAACATTGCGTTCGCAAGCGGGCTGCACGTCGGAGAATGGAGCGTGTTGCACGAGGAGCTGGGAGATAGCTGGATGGAAAGAGCAGTCAACCGCCCGATGATTGCAATAGAGTATGTCGCAACACGCGTGCCAGGGCAGCTACTGTACTACCGCAAACTACAGGAATCAACCTGGGCCCTCGTGAGCGAGGCTTTTAGTAACAGCGTCATAGAGCCTGGGAAGACTACGACTGAGGTCAGTGCGACGGGTTTTGTCCGTCTTCCCCCAGTAGATGAAAATGCGTCTTCTTCCCGTATCTATAGGATGTGGAGTGGTGGTTTCGGGAGAAGATGCAAGCTCAGAACTACTCTACATGGAACCACCCGCGTGTGTCCGTGCTGAAACCCGAGTCCTTCCCCGGATGGGATGGAACGAAGGACACAATCCGCCCTGGGGATCTGCTTCATGTTGACTTCGGCATCAGCGCACTAGGCATGCACACCGACGTGCAGCACATGGCGTACGTCCTCCGTGAAGGCGAGACTGATGCACCGGAAGGCCTCAAAGTGGGGTTGCGGAAAGCGAATAAGATGCAAGACATCGTGTTGGAGCAGATGAAGGCAGGGAAGACAGGTAATCAAGTCCTAACGGAATCGCTTGCTCAGATGCGTCGAGAGGGTATTGACGGCCAAATCTACTGTCATCCTATTGGCGATTGGGGCCATGCGCCTGGTGCAGTCATGGGTGAGTCAACTGTGACATTCACACTACCTGTTCTAACGAGCTGACCTTCGTTGACAGGGTTCACCAATCTGCCCGAGCATGTGCCCGTCCTCGGCGAGTTGCCCATCCTTCCCAATACGTACTATAGTATAGAACTGTATGCGTATCATTTCGTACCAGAACGGAACGAGTCTATCAGGTTCAGGGTGGAGGAGAATGTTCATTGGGTAGACGACGAGCGAGGATGGAAGTTTGTCTATGGCAGGCAAGAGAGATACCACCTCGTCAACGGAACCCACTTCTCCAATTCTCCAGCTGTCTTAGTCGTCCAGTAACAACATTGGACAGTTCAGATACGTGAGACGATGAAACGCCCCAGACGTGGATATATGCTGGCAAAGGATATCGGAAGAAAGGTTCGTATTCGCATGTAATAATAACTTACAGACTTGAGTCAAGTAAGGATATCCCTATTCGATCACAACATGCAGAGCTCCATCTACAGGACTTCACTGAGCTACGAGCATAAATTCAATGTCAGCATCGTCCGTTTCCGCATATACAAAACAGAAATACTCACATAAGGATAAGCCTCAGGAGGTATAAACATTCTGTCTAGCTTGTACATCGTGGAATGGTCATCTTCGTGGACCTGTTGCAATAGGCTTTGACCGTCTGCTACTGAGACCTGCCAGTATGTTGTCTTGGTTGGCAAATCGTGCGAAGACCGCCTGACGCTGAATTTGATGTACTCTAGCGTTGGGACTGCTGCCACAGCGGCACGCACAAACCCGCTCATTCCCGACTGCGTTGCATACAGGATAGCCCAACGGCAGGACTCGCTCCAAAAATCTAGGTGACAATCAAGCATGCGGATCGGCATTCCTTCCAGTGATCCCGCTAACACTTCGCTCTGCATGTCGTCAGCACTTCGCCCAGGCTCCCGACCAAATAGTACATACCATTCCTGGCTGTGGTTCCACTGACAAGTGGAGGGAGACGTCCAGCCTTTGTAACCGCGAGAGGCCGCCTTTCAAGAGGTGGGCGAAACTAAACGGGATATAGTACGATGACAGCCGTAGATGCTGTGGGCGGAGATGGTGAAATAAATCCTCCAAGATAGGACTTGAGAAGTTTCTCCAGCCGTCTATGTCGGTGGTGATATGTAGCGAGGTGACTTCACTTCGTAACGCTATAGTATAGAGTGAATCCCAGGTAGCCTCAACGGCAAGTAAGGATTGCCAGCGTTGTTGCTCCTGCTGGAATGTTATGTTGTCATCTCGACGTGATTGCTTCTGAGCGTTGGTCTCAGCCCCTAGATCAACACTTAGGTGCTTCATAATCAGGATCTGTGCGTTGGGGAACAGCGGCACCAGGGTCGACAGTGGGGTTCGCGAGAAAGTATCCATTTTAACGCAAGCGACCTTAGGACAAGAAAACGGAACAGAGGGGCACTCCAGAACCATCATGGAGAGGCTGACTTCTTCTAAGGAAGCTTGGAATTGTGCGAGTATTGGAGTTGGATTAACATAGCTGTTTGGGCTGTCACGGTCGAGGAGGTGGTGCATGATTGCATCAAGACGACTGAGGTGTATACGAGACAGGGGGCAGCGAAGACGACATAGCATGCTTCGTGCCTCATCGGAGAACGGGTCTCCAGTCATTTCTAGTTCGCGTAGACCGGTCATCGAAGAGATCGTCTGAGCTGCAACATCCCAGTATATGGCATCTGT